GGGGCGGGAGGCGTGTGCGCCGTGCCACCGGCGCGCCGCGGGAGGAGGGGGAGGAGGAGGAGGAGGCGGAGGAGCTGTCGCTGCCGCCGGGGTCAGTGGCATGGGTGCTGGAGCCGGCGAGAGGGCGGGGCCATTTCGCTGCACGAGCTGAGATTCGCCGAGATTCGCCGAGATTGGCCGAGAGTAGGCGAGAGGGCGGGCCTTCTCGCTGTACAAGTCGCGCGCGGCGCTGGAGGGTCGGCTCGAGGCGCTCGGGGCCGCTACTAACCCTGACCCTAACTATAACCACTAACCCTAACCCTAACCACTAGCCCCTTCCCTAACCCTAACCCTGACCATAACCATAATCATAACCATAACCACAGCCCCTAACCCCAGCCCTAACCCTAACCCTAACCCTAACCCTAGCCCTAGCCCTAGCCCTAGGCGCTCGGCGCCGCCGTCGTGCGGCGCGGCTCGCGCGTTGGCAAGTCTGAGGTGACGCTGATGCTAGCACCCCAGACCTGTTTGGGGTCCGACCTTCGCCCCCCCTCAGTAGCCTGGCGTCGGTTTGGCGTCGGTGATGGTGCTGCTTCTTGCACAAGAGTCGCTCACGGCTACTGCTACTAGGTGACGCTGATCGTAATCGCGGAGGGGGCGGAGGTGCTTAGAAGCGGAACGCGGATTCTTGTCTCCCAACCAGCGCTCGAGAGGACACGCACTCCGCTGTACTCGACCGTATTCCTCTGTATTCGACCGCTTTCCGCTGTGTTCGCTGTATTCGCCACCCCTGCACAACACCCCGCCTTCCCTCCCCTCACGCTGTCGCCTTCACTGCGCAGGCGGAGGCAGGCGGTGTCTCCACCTCCCTCTGCCCGGCGGCGCGCGTGGTGCGCGAGTCGTGGGTGGCCAAGCGCTCTCTCGCCCTCAAGGCGGGGGCGGCTGCCCGATCTCGGCTCATCTCGGCTGGCCTCGGCTCATCTCGGCTCATCTCGGCTAACATCTTCGCCCTCAAGGCGGGGCGGCTGCCTCCTCCGCCGCCGCCACCAAAGCTGACAAGGAGCACGCCCTCTAAGCGGCGCGCGGCTCCGGAGGCGGCGGGCGGCGGCGAGAAGCGGGCGAAGCGCGCGCGCGGGCCTTCTGCGGCGGCGGCGGCGCGGATGGAGCGAGCGCTGTCGGAGCGGCTCTACTTGGTGGAGCGGCGCGACGCGTCCTCGTCCTCGCCCTCGGGGGTGGTGCGCGCGTGCGGCTCCTCGTCGTATGCACAGCCTTCCGTTGGCGCGCCCACGGCGGTCTTCTGATTCAGGTGCGTCTGCGGCACGACTTCGTCGTCCTCGGGTCTACCGGCAACGTGTACACCGCCTCCGTCAGCCAGCTTCCCTCGTGCTCCTGCGTCGACTTCCGAGAGCGGTCGACGATCTGCAAGCACCTCCTCTTCATCTACGTCAAGGTGGCGCCGCGTGGCCTCTTCGCCCGATCTCGGCTCATCTCGGCGCATCTCGGCGCATCTCGGCGCATCTCGGCGCATCTCGGCGCATCTCGGCGCATCTCGGCGCATCTCGGCTCATCTCGGCGCATCTCGGCGCATCTCGGCGCATCTCGGCTCATCTCGGCGCATCTCGGCGCATCTCGGCGCATCTCGGCTCATCTCGGCGCATCTCGGCGCATCTCGGCGCATTCGGCGCATCTCGGCGCATCTCGGCGCATCTCGGCGCATCTCGGCGCATCTCGGCGCATCTCGTCCCCGATGCGAAAAGGTGTTGCGCGTGCCCCGCGACTCGCTCCTCCCGCTGCAGCGGGCGCTGCTCCGCACAGAGCTTGCCCAGATCTTGGGCGGTGGCGGCGGGGGCGGCGGCGAGGGCGGCGGCGGGGGCGGCGACGGTGGGGGCGGCGACGGCGGGGGCGGCGGCGGCGGCGGCAGCGGCGGCGGCAGCGGCGGCGGCAGCGGCGGCAATAGCGGTGATGGCGGTGGCGGCAACGAGGGCGACGACCGCGGCGGCGGCAGCGCGGTGCCGGAGGAGGCCATTGCGAGCGAGGCGGTGAGGGAGGCGTATGGACGGCGGCGCGGCGCGGCGATCGGTGGGGGGGAGGTGCTCCCGCTCGTTGGGTCGGGGGAGGGGGCTGGGGGCCTTCCTTGGGTGGAGGCGCGTCCGCGCGACGGTGAGCCGTGCCCCACCTGCTGATATCAGTGAGTGGTGACGTGCACGACTCTGAGGAGTGACTCATACTAGGCGAGCTGTGCCCCATCTGCTTTGACGCGCTCGCGGACGATGCGCCCGAGGCGGCGATAGCGGAGCTGGTGCGGGCGGCGGCGCGGGCGGCGAGCGGGGCGGGGCCTTCCGCAGGCGGCGACAGCCCGCCTTCGCCGCCCCCGTGTACGCATTGCGCGCACGGGTGTGGCCGGAACTTCCACGCCGCTTGCTTGCGGCGCTGGTCGATCGCTCGCCGGGCGACGGGCAGGCGGCTAGAGTGCCCTGCATGCCGCGCAGCGTGGCGGAGGGACGACCCGGCGCTGCCGCGCGACGAGGAGGTCGCGGCCGCGGAGCAGGCGTCGGAGGCGGCGGGCAGCCGCGACGAGGGCTACCTCAACCTCGCCGCTCTGGTGCCGGGCACCGCCGCTGCACGGGACACCTCCACCTACTCGCCTTGGCTGGAGGTGCACCAGAGGCGCCGCGAGCGTGCAGAGATGCTGGGGTCTCCGCCTTGAGTGAGCTGTGAGCAGTGAGCTGCGAGGGTGAACGGTCTCCCGGCCCGCGGGCACACCCATTTAATTCAGATTGTAGTTGCTATGGATGTATCCCGCCCGTGTACCCACGACGAAAAAAGGGGAGGTGATCAGACATGCCACTGAGACGGTGACGCCGTGCTACGAACACTAACAGAAAAGTGTTTCGGGACAGAAAAGTGTTTCGAGAAGTGTGGGGTGCCGGGTGCCGCGGCAGGGCGCGGGGTCTCTCGCGCTCCCAGCACCGCATCTCGCCGCCCCTCTCATCACCGGAGAGAGTCGGGGGGAAAAGTCACAGAGAGGCGACCGACCGTTACGTTCCGCGCTGGGAGCTCTGGCAACAGCGACATGCCCGCTGCCGTTGCAGGCCGGAACTACGAGACGGTGCTCGCGGCCAGGGGCAGCAGGGGCGAATCGGGCGTCGAATGTTCGGGGCTCATCTGCCCCTCGCCGATGGCGTCACGAGAGTAGGAGGCGTACCAGTCAACTGCGGGTGGTGAGCCGAGACCTGCCTCCACGGGCGCCGTCGCAAGAGCGGACATGGAAGCTGAAGGCATCGAGCTGACGAGGCTGCGCGGGAAAAGGGTGGGGAGGGCGGTGGGAAGCGAGCTAGAAAACGTCTGAGGTGGTTGACCGAACGAGTGGCTCTAGGCTCTGGACAGCGACCTGTCAATGGCGGAGGGCGACACCACTGCCTCGAGCACACGCCCCTCGAGGAGCTTGAGGTCAAGCTTCAGGCCCGTGGCGGCACCCCGCTCGCCGCAACCGCCGGGCAGATTTGCATAGGGCGATGGCACGAGTTTCATGGGCCCCACCGCCGACAGGTTAGCCTCGCCGGTCGTCAGCGGTGGAGCCCCGGCAACGGCCTCGTCGGAGGACAGCGCCCACAAGGGGAACTTGCTCTCGCCGTCGGGCGTGTTCGGCTCCTTAGTCTCGCGCATCAGCAGCTGGATGATCTTTTCCCTCCTCTCGCCGTCCTCTGTCGCGCACGCCAGCTGCGTTGCCAATTGAAGGATGCGCTGCCTCTTGCGGTGCGCCTGCGAGAGCGATGTGCGAGGGCGCGAGTTATCAGCGCGGGCTCAGAGGCCAAGGTGCTCTGCATAGGGCGCGCCTCTGCCTCTGCCTCCTCGTCAATGAGGGGGGTCGTGCCCACAGGGGTGTCCGGCGTGGCCGAACCTGCGTCCGTCTCTCCTTCCGCAAGACCGGGGCGCGTCGTCCTCACTTTACTCGGGCCCCTCTTGCTGGAAGCCTCCGCTGCTTGCGCCGCCCCCGCCGCCTTTTCTGCGAGGCCACTAGCGCGGCTGTCGGCAGGGTTCGCCTCACCCGGCCGCTTGCGCTTGCAGGCGACGACGCTGGCGGCAGCGAAGCGCGACGACGGTACTCGCGACACAGACGCGGCCACGGCAGCCTGTGCGCTCGCCTTTGCTGCGGTCTGTGCCACGATGACGGCTGCTACACTTGTGCCGGCATTCTGCGGGTGGTGGCCAGATGGAGGTGAGCAGCGATTTTGGGGGGGGGGGGGCCACGTGTGGTGTAGGGGGGGAGGGGCTCTAGCGGCGCGTATCATGTGCTCTCAAGGGGGGGGGGGGGGGGGGGCTAAAAACCACCTTGGGAAAAAAAGGAAAAAAAAAAAGGGGGGGCCGGGGCCCTCCTTTGGAAAAACCCCCCCCTTTTTTCCTTGGAACCCGCGGCGGTTGGAATTTTAACGGTTTTTGATGGCATTGTCGGTCCTGCCTGGCAGCCGCTTTACAATCTCCGACCACTTGGTACCGATCTCGGCCACCCCCTGCTCAATGATCTGGTCCTCCTCTGCGGTCCATTCCCCCTTCTTCACCTGGGGTGCGATAGTATTTGCTGGCGAGGGTGAGAGGCAGATCTATCGCCTGGACGCGGCGATCGGGGTGGAGGTAGCAACTTCAATCCCCACGGCGTAAGGCTCGGGGCCTGTCGGCTGTCGGCGTGGGTAGCAGGCGGCTGGGCGGGCGGAAGTCACCTCTGGGCACAGGTGGTTGAACCAACGCTCGCGGCACTGCTTGCCGACCCGGCCGTCCATCTGAGAGGCAATCAGCGACCAGCGCTGCGCCCCCAGCCTGCCCACCACTTCCATCAGCAGGCGGTCCTCGTCCTCTGCCCACGCGCGTTTGACCTGCAGCAGTGAGCGGTTGCAGCTGTGAGAGTGGCGGCTTCCGAGGCAGTGGATGCAAGCGTGGCAAGACGGCAGGGTGTGGTAGGCGTCAGATCGGACAGCTGTGACTGCTAGTTGGCGGCGGCGGATGCTGGCGCCGTGGCGAGTCGGCAGGCTCGCACTGGCAGCAACGGCAGCGGAAACTTGTGTGAGTGGGTCAGGGGGGCGCTCACGTTGGTTGTGCCACGCGAGAGCCGTCCGTCCATATCTGCGTCGGCGAGGTCTGTGTCGGCGATCTGGTCCTCGAGGTGGGCCTCGTCGATCGCGGCGACCTCCGTCGAGGCGGCTGGAGAGGGAACGAGCATCACGGGCGCGGCGACCACGACCATGGAAGCCGAGAGAGCGAAGCGTTGCACAATCTCGCGGGCGTTACCCGTGCGTTGGGAGCGAATCGCCCGCCACTCCTATCACTGGGCCAAACTTGGAGGTGGCAATATAGAGACAACTCAAATCTTCCCCCTCGAAACCCGGCGCCGCCGGCGTCGGCCGAATCAGCCCGGCGCTGGCCGTGGCGTGAAGCGTCGAAAGCGGGCCGGGGAGAGGAGAGGATGGGAGGGAGGGATAAGTCTTAACCCATAAGTAAGTCATTTAACATTTATTTGGCTGTAACCAGGTTTCCTCGTGTCGCTCGCGCACCCCGTGTAGTTTCGTTTCTTTGTTTCCCTGTACAGCGACACCGATCATCTGGCCCGCTGGGTGCGCTTCTTAGCTCCCCGGCGGCCCTGGGTGTAAGGTTACCGACTGCACTCCAAGTCGCAAGTGCTCCAAGACTTAGTCACAAGAAAACTCTCGAGTGTCGAGAGTTGCCAGAATGGAGCACCAAACACCCTTCAGTTTCCCTGGAAATCGTTCCGGAAACGACCGACCCGAGGTGTCAGTTGGGGGGGTTTGGGGTGACGGGCAGACGCGTGTCTCGCGTCCACCCATACCGCGTTGGTGTCCAGTCCGTAGGTTGTCCGAGCTGGGGCTGGGCTCGGTCCGGCTGCTCACAGAAATGTGTTTTCTCGCGGGTGAGAGAAGGCCTCGGATTGAAAATTAGAACCATAAATAAATAAAAGGATAAATTTCAGATTACCCGGTTTTTGAGATTCGCCTCGCAGATTACCCGGCGAACGATATTTTCCTGCTTAGCGCGATTTCCGTCAAACCAGTTTACCCAGTCTCCCACAATTCGTGTTTCAGCTTACCCGGTCGCTAAAATTTGTCATGTCAGATTACCCGGTCGGCCAAATTTCTCGTCCAGATTACCCGGCAACGATATTTTCCTGCTCAGCAGCAATTTCATCAAAAAACTGAGAAACCGGTTTACCAAGTCTCCCACAATTCACGTTTCAGCTTACCCGGCCGCTAACTTTTCTCATGTCAGATTACCCGGTCGGCCAAATTTCTCGTCCAGATTACCCGGCGGCTAACTTTTCTCTTTGAGATTACCCGGGCGCGCAAATTTCTCGTTTCAGCTTACCCGGACGCGAGCGTGCACCTCGTCCAGAGAGCGAGCACCTGCGGCACTTGGTCCTAAGGAGAGCTCCCACTCGGAATCCCCGGCCTCGTTTGCTTGAATGACGCAGTCGTGAATCCCAAACGGTTTCACATTACCCGGAAAAGAAATTTCGCCTGCCGGGTAACCTGGAAACGACATTTCGCCGTGTTGCTGTTGTGGGTAACCTGGAAACGACATTTCGCCGTGTTGGGTAATCTGGAAACGACATTTTGCCGCACCGGGTGATCTGAAACCGCTCACGCCGGGTGATCTGGAAAACGCCGGGTGATCTGCGAGGCGAAGCTCAAAACCGGGTGATCTGGAAAAAGAAATTTCGTGACCCGGGTAACCTGGAAACGACATTTCGCCGTGTTGGGTAATCTGGAAACGACATTTCGCCGTGTTGGGTGATCTGCGAGGCAAAAACTCGCAGACGCCGGGTGATCTGAAAAACGCCGGGTGATCTGCGAGGTGAATCTCAAAAAAACCGGGTAATCTGAAATTTATCCTAAATAAAAAACGCGGAAAACCCTCTACGGTGAGATGGGTAAAATAAAAAAACAGGGCCCCGCCCGAAAATTTGTACGACCGCGCGGTCTACGCGCTCTATCCAGCGGCCAGCTTTCAACAAGTGAAGAAGTCGGCAGCGCCTAGCGTTGCCCTCACGATCGCCTCCAGCTCTCTGACGGAGCTCGCCTAGCGAGGGCGCAACACACTGAGAGATCAAGCCGCGGCAGCTCCCTCACGCTCTCCGAGTGCATGCCACGCGCCTCGCGCCTCGCACAGCGAGCTGAGATTAGCCGAGATTAGCCGAGATTAGCCGAGATAAGCCGAGGTCCGCACGCCTCGCACAGCGCCATCCGGAGCTGCGGCGCCGTGTACGGACCAAGATGGTCGAAAGTGCAGCGGTGCCCCTTGCCGCTCCTACAGAAGAAGGCACTCGCATGTCTGCAGAGAAGAAGCGCTCGAGGGCTCTGCGGTGCCCCGTGCCGCTCCTGCCAAGCATCCACATCACGTGCCCGCGCACCTACGCGCAGACCTCTGCGAGTCGAGGCATAGCACGCTCGGAGCGTCCCGTCCACAGTTTCCACGGCACGACGCTAAACTCCTCCGGCGGATGAGCCTCGGCGAGCGCGAGGTACCTACTCGTAAGGTAAGGCAAGTAAATTTCTCCACGCACACAAAGTGGTGGGGCAAGGGGGGGGCGAGGGGGGGCGAGGTACCTACTCGTGTGCTGATGAGCGTCAGTGATGACTTTCTCATGCCGTCGGTGAGACTCGGGCGAGCGCGAGGCACTCGAGAGCCACACCAGCCACGCCCCCCCTGCCTAACTCCGGCCTTTCGCCCCCCTCGCCGCCGTCCTCCTCACTGCCGCCCTCCCCCCTCCTGACATCACCCCTGCCGCCTTCCCCCCTGCCGAGGAC